AATGGAACCATCCCAGAAGGTTAAGATGCCATAGATGATACCATTCATCCGTACTTCAGAGGTGTTGAAATGTGAAAAATCTAAAATTCATGGAATGCCCCTGCATGTGGCAAAATCAACCTGTAATAAATGCCAGCACTCCACCAGATGGATCAATCCTTTGTGTTCTATTAGTCTCCCTCAGCGCGTACTTCTGCCACACCTTTGCTGTGGTTGAGAATCGACAACAGAACACACAGCGGTTCAGCAGTGTCGGCGTGTCTCATTCAGTGACATCGATAACACTGTTCAAGTCGTGCAAACATTCTCACGCTCCTTTTCTAAACGGTCCCTGCCCTGCTAACGGAAACTCACTGCCCCGGAAATTCCTATTTCCAGTGCCAGTGGTCCTTTTGGTCCCAGATAGATGGGACCACAGTGTTCAATTGCCACACATTTTTAAAGGCTGTCCTTGAGCTATTAGGATATGGGGCTTTGGACAGAGGTGTCTGAAATACTTTGACTTCCACTGTTATCAATGTCCTACAAAGTTAAGCCTTCTCTGGTTTAAAAAAAAAAAAAAAAGCCTTCCTTGACTCAGTAAGGGTTACTTGCTAATAATAATAGAGATTATATCCACGTACCAGCTGTCTTAGTTATCTAGTGATACAGAAACAGAAATATCCCAAGTGGGTAGCTTTCACAACAGAAGCTTATTTTCTCCAATTTCAGGAGCTAGAAGTCTGAATTCAGGATGCCTGCTCCAGGGGAAGGCTTGCTCTCTACATTGGTTCTGGAGGAAGGCCCTTCTCTCTTCGAGCTTGTACTCTTGGGCAATCTGCACTTGACCATGCGTCTCAGTTTTCTTACTCTGCTCCTTTTACATCATGTAACAGATTGACTGAAGACACACAGCTCCATTAATCCTGCCTCATTAACATCACCCAGATAGCTCCTTCTCTAACGGGATTATAACCACAAGCATCCAGGTTAGGGTTTGCCTTTGTTTTGTTTCTTTCCTTTTTTTTTCTTTTTAAACTTTGATTGGGACTTAGGTGAAGGTTTGCTGTACAGTCTTACATTCAGCACTACCTGCACAGGTGTTTCCATTGTGTTCCATGGCAATCCCTCCACGCCCCATCACTTGTCTCCCCTCCTCTCTGTGTGTCCTGTTTCTGGTCCTTCTCTCCTAACCCTCTGCACTTTATCTTTGGGTAAATGCTGCCCTTTGGGCCTTATGGTTGATGGTTCTACCACAGGGATGAGTTCAGTTCCCAACCTGAGGGGTGACAAAGAACCATCGTCTTTGGGGTCCATCTCTCTCGATCCCACTCGTCAGCTGAGTCTCTTTCACGACTTGGAGTTTTGCTCCATCATTTTGTCCTCCTCTGCTAGCACCTTCTGGCCTGATCCTGTTCCGAGTAATTGGTTGTGATAGCCAGGCCTCGTCTGGTCCCTCTGGTCTCAGGGTGGAGGGTGGCAAACATCTGTTTGCATGTTCCAGCAGTCCTGGACTGATGGTTTCATGAGTTTTCTGGCTGTCAGCACTCTTCTTTCCTTTGAATGTGGAGAGACCAATGGTTGTACCTTAGACAGCAGCTCGTGGACTTTGATGATCCCAGTTGCTACTCACCAAAGTAGGGTGACGAACATTGTCTTTGTGAATTATACTATTGACAGATCCTGGTGCTCCCCAAGACTATGGTCCTGAGACCACAGCCCCAGCATCTCGTGCCCTCAAAGAGTTTGATTATATTTAAGAAGAATCCATAACTTTGCGTCCTGTGTGCACCACCATTTTCATGGTTGTAATTGCAGTAAATACACATCGTACAAATATCTCCTGTCAGATCTGCATATATATCTGAGACTGTAGTCCCATCCTCCCTCCCGCACCTGTTCAGCCTGCATGTCTAGCTAAGCATCTTCTCATTGATCCGCACAATGGCAGGATTGTGTGTATAACAACACTGACTTCTGTTGCCTTTACCTCTGGCAAACCTCCTCCATCATTTTTGACCCATCTCCCTCCTGTTGTGAATTGTCTTCCCCTTCACCCGAGTAAAACCTGTTTGTTTACCCTCTAGGATGTGATTTCAGCTTCCTCCTTTCCCTTCTGCCCTTGGTAACCATCAAAGTATATTTCTTTTCATGTGAAACCCTTTTCTTGACTTTCACAATAGTGGTCTCGTACAGCATTTACCCTTTGTGACTGATTGATTGATTTCCCTCAGCATACTCTCCTCCAGGTTCAACCTTGTTATGAGGTGTTTTCAGAGTCATCGTTATCTGTTAATGTTGTGTGGTATTCCATTGTGCATGTGTACCTCAGTTGACTTATCCATTCTTCCACTCGTGGGCCTTTACGTAGCTTCCATTTTTGTGCTACTGTGAATAGTGCTGGGATGAACATAAGTGGGCATGGAGCTGTTTGTGTTGGGGTTCTTATCTCTTTGGGATAGATACCAAGAACAGGGATTGCTGGATCAAATGGAATCTCTATTCCAAACTTTAAAAAAACACATCTTGACCTATAAATCACATGCCATACAATTCAATGGTTTGAATATTTTAATAGGAGTTGTACAATAGTCCCAACTTTGGGGGACCACTTTCCACAGTGGTTACACCCCCTTTCCAACCTTCCCCCTGCCCCCGCGCCCCCAGCCATGTAGGAGTGCTCCAATCTCCCCATAGAGGTTAGAATTTATAACATATATTTTGGAGGGATGTAATTCAATCCATAACATCAGCCTTGTCTGGAATCATGTTTAATCCCCAATGAAAACAGGACCTGGAATATATTTCTTGATTGTGGTCTATTAAAGTATGAACCTTCGCACATAGAAGATGGCATAGTGCCAAAGGCAGCCTAGTGCCTGTTCCCAGGAGCCTGTAAATCTGCTTCCTCGTCTTTCCCTGTAATTCCTGCCAGGTTAATCAAGTGTAGTTTTTGCCCACTCGTGGTCCAATAGACTGAGTGTGTGTGTGTGTGTGTGTGTGTGTGTGTGTGTGTGTGTGTCTGGCACTGGGAGGTCCCTAGCGCCAACTGTCACATGCTGCTGGTCTAGGGGCACTTCTGGAGCTCGGACTCAGGGTCAGTTTACCAGCCCTAAAAACACTTGCTGCTCATGAACTCTTGATTCTCTTCCTGATTGGGAATTAAGAGTACATGTGGGATTCTCTTTTATTCCATACAATGAAGTAAGTTTCTCAACATTTTTGTTGTGAGTGGATTCAATTTCTCCCTTTGGATTTAGCTGTCATTTATTTTTATACAATCATCATTCCAGCACTGGCCCTTGTTAGCTTACATCACTTTACGGAGTTGTAATGTGCTCAGGCTTTAGTTTCCAAGCATCTAATTGGCCACATCGGTTCTCTAAATCCACAGTTGCCTGAGGCTTGGAAAGAGCTTGATCTATGTCAGTGGTTCTCCAAGTGTGGTCCCTAGACCAGCAGCAGTGGCTTCCTCTGGGAATTTGTTAGAAATTAAAATCCTCAAGTGAGACCCCCCAGCCTCCTGAACCAGAAAGTTGGAAGGTGGGGCCCAGTCACCTGGGTGTAACAAGCTGAATATCCACTCTCTCCAGTGGATATTCGAGTCGGAGAACCATTATTCTGTTTAACTAACAAGACTGCCTCCTGAATGCACTCACTGGGTCATGGTGAGTGCGTGCAGGAAACCCAAATCCCTGTGTAAAATTTGCAGTCCTCTAGTTCCTTGAATAGGAACCCTGGTGGTGTAGTGGTTACAAGTTGGGTTGCGATCTGCAGGGTCAGCAGTTCAAAACCACCAGGAGCTCTTTGGGAGAAAGACTAGGCTTTCTACTTCCATAAAGAGTTACAGTCTCAGAAACCCACAGGGGTTCACTATGAGTCAGCGTTGGTTTGATGGCAGGGAGTTTGGTTTGAAGAAGAGGCCTCATGGCATAATGGTTACATGTTGGACTGCTAATTGCAGGGTCAACAGTTTGAAACCACCAGTTCATCCAAGGGAGACAGATTGAGTTTTCTACTCCAGTAAGAGTTAAAGTCTCAGAAACTCAGGGGTGACGGTTCTATCCTGTTCTATAGGGTCACTGTATGTTGACATTGGCTCAGTGGCAGTGAGTGTAGTTTATGGTTTTGTTCCTTAAAAGGATTCCCTTTCACCACTTGGGTCAAACCCTCGGTATTCGGTTGATCACATCAACTCACTCAAGATAGGGTAGGATTAATAAGCCCTGGGATATGGGGGATGCAATGCAAACAGGAAGGGTAGAAATGATGTTCCCCTCCCCACATCATATCAGCATATAAGTACTTGCTTAGTAACCCCTCCTTTGAAAGAATATTTATGTTGACTTCTGAAATTCAAGCCTTTTTAAAAGACAAATGCACAAATGTACCCAAAAGGAAAGTCTGAGTATATTTCTTTCCACTCGGTTGTCAGTCTAAGTGTATACCTCCCTTTAGCTTCTCAAAAACAGAACTGGGCCAAGGTCTAGAGAGGCAGCTGTTTTGAGTTCACATGAACTCAAGTTCCCATGAACCCATTCCTGTCCAGTGGATCTCCTCTCCCCCCTACCCTCATAGACCTGAATGTGCCGTTAGCTAACAAGCCCCTCACTAGACATGCAGATGTTTCCAACCTTTGAATAGTATAAGAAGCACTCCACTGCCCTTCCTTGGAGCACGTACGCCTTTGCTCTACATTTCTCATGATCTCCTCGGGATTGAAAAAACACCCTAAAAAAGTGTAATGGCTGAGCTAAAATTCTGGCTGCCTCTTCACAAATTTGTCATGGGGTGGAGGTCAGAGGTGGTTCTGCCCCCTCCCCAGGGACAGTGAGGCATCTCGAGTTGTAACTGCCGTCAGGAGAACTCATCCACTCGAGGGAGGTTGCTTAAGCACCTAGACTTCTTTCTGCGGTATTTTTTAAAGTGGGATTGTTCCGTAGGAAATATTCTTTAAAGTCATCTTGGGTGGGGAGGGGGAAATGAGGGTACGCTGTCTAATGATTTCTTTTTCCTTGCAGACCCCTGAGCATCAAGACCTGCAGGGACACGATGCCCGTCGATGCCCTGGCCCTGAAAAAGAAGATCCACAAGATGGCCTTGGACCCTGCCGCCTGCGCCATCCTCACCAGCCTGCTGCTCTACGTCACCGAGCAGGCAGACAGGCCTCGGGGCCCCCCTGCCACCCAGAAGGCAGCCGGCCAGGAGACCCGGGTGAGCCACCGGCCCGAGCCTCAGGAGCCCTACCGGCGGCCCACCAAGTTCCAGCTTCTGCAGTCCAAGTTCATGAACCCCAACCGCGAGTCCTACATCAAGAAAACCCGGGAGGTGGGCCGGCTGATCTTCAAGGACAAGCAGGGGCCGGGCCGAAGCTTTGTCAACATGACCATCACCAAGCTCCTGGAGAAGACCAAGGAGAAAGCCAACGGCCCCGGGGAGGAGAAGCAGCTCATCTCCAGTGAGAGGCCAAGGTGGGGCCACCCCGCCGGCAAAAACACGGTCAAGAACATGCTCAAGAAGTTCTTGGCTGCCGAGGAGAAGGAGGCGAAGGAGAAAGCAGCTCGAGAGAAGCCCCCCGCTGGCAGGCCCAAGCCCACCAGTGGCCTCGTGCCCAAGATTGTCGCCAAGAAGAACTCCGTCCTGGCCAAACTGAGAGAGAAATTTGAACAAAGCAGTTCTCTCTGCTCGGAAGCCGGCGTGCTGCTGCTGCGAAAAGAGGAACGCAAGAAAAAGAACCTGCAGCGGAAGAAAATGCACAGGCCGGAGGTCGGGGTGCTGCACACGGCCACCCAGGCCAGCACCTGCATCAAGATGCCCCCGGCCCGCTACCTGGCCTGCACAGCCGAGCCTGTGCCGGCCTTCAGCATCGCCACCATAGTCTGCGGGCCCCGGAGCTGGCTGTCGCACTGCGCGAAAATTAACCTCTCCAAGTCCAGGAGCGCGCCCGGGCGAGAAGGCAGCCTGTCCTCCCCCGCGGGGGAAAGACAGCCCGTTGGGAGGACACCCCCAAGAAAGGGGCCGATCAGTGCAGAGCTCCAAGGACAGTCCTTGGAGCCCGAGGTGACAGGTGGTGGGGAGCATCACGTTGCTCCGAGCATGCCTGTCCCCTGGGTGGAGCGGGTGCTAGACTCCCGTGCTGATCTCGGGGTAGGCCACGCCCTTCAAGACCGCATTCCTGACCACACTGAGTGGTCATCGACACTCCCCGCAGCCAGCCTCCAGAGCGCAGGGTCCCATCCAGCTACGGGACAGAGGCGAGAGAGCGTTGCCGGGGGTGTAAGGGGACCTGGCTCCAGGGCAGGTGTTGCCCATGGGAGTGAAGCAAGAGCAGCCCCCTCACCTGGGGAGACTCCCAAGATGACCATGACTGTCTGTAGCTCCGAGGATGAACCAGAAAGAGCTTCTGACACCGAAAGAGACCCCTTCTTTGCCACCCAAAAGTTCTTCCCGGAACAGAAAGTACCAGGACCCATCCCACCGCTGCACACTCCAGTCGTGCAGGCTGCGCGGCGAGCCCAGGCCACCATCGAGGCTCCACAAATCACCGTCAAATTCCCAGTGGTCTATGAGATGCCACCGCCTCCGGTCCCGCTGCAAGACGCACACAAGAGTGAGGCTGCGCGCCGTCACGCTCTGGGAGGAGAGGCTGCGCACGGCACTGCGAGGACATCATTTCCCCCCACCGTTGAAAAGAAAAGGGGCAACGAAGCCACAATGAAACCAAGCGAACGTTCTGGGGAGCCGGCAAAAGTCAATTCCCCTTCAGCGCCTGGACCCCATGCTGAGCGGAAGCCAGCCGCACTAGGAGAGGCTGCTGGGTTTGAGCCTAACACCCCAGGGGCAGCCCTGACACCGAAACTCCAGGAAAACCCCACCCATGTCGAGATAAACAAATGCAGCTTTGAAAGCTCACACGATGTCAAGGGTCCTATGGAGGCTTCAAGAGAGAATCTTTATGAGCTCATTTCGGGGAAGCAGCAGCTACCAGACTCACATGAAATCCCAACACCTACCAAGGGTACCTTGTCAAATCCCACTGCCACGTCGAGAAAGAGTCTGGAAGGAACTGTCTTCCCTACCTTGGGCGGTCAGCCATTGCCCTCGTCCAGTACAAGCAGCCCGACGGTGCAGAAGGCAACTTCGCTGGCAACACCGCCCAAGGGCTCTGTGAAGTCTGGGTGCTCCACCTTGCCGCACAAAAACATCTTGTCTGAGCAAGTCTCTGAGGGGGCAGCATTCACAGAGTGTACCCAACCCAACAAGGCTGCTAAAGGAAAGGTCAGCCATGATTTTGACAAGAACAAACTGCCCTTGACGAAAGAATCATCCAAGCCAGCCAGCAAAGCAGGACCCGGTGTTGGGGATCACACAACCCCATCCTCAAGGAATGCCCTTACCCCTGAAACTAACATGGCAGAAGAACTGAAGACTTTTGACAAGGAAGCACACAGACATGTTGCCACCAAAGAAAATAGGCTGATAGGCGAGGACTCCTCTGCCGACCCCAGCAAACAGCATCCCTTGGCACTGAGTGGCTCGTCCAGACGCAGCAGCAGCGCAGCCAACGTGAGCGGCCTGGCTGACACCGAGCGGGGCCGGTCTTCACCCTCAGCGTACTTGATAACTCGCCCAAATGAAGCAGCCCGTGCCCACCTCCTGTTGGGCACGCCCCACTCACGGGTTTCAGAGGAATTCACCGAGAGCAAAGAAAACACAGCCGGGGAAAGCAACCATACTACAGCTACCGAAGGAAATCCTTTGGGGAATCACCTGAGGTCCCAAAGTCTAACTTCAAAATATCTGACCCCGCAGGAAAGTAGTGCCGCAAGGTCTCCCTGCCGCAGTTCGGGCAAGCATCAGCCACCTTCTTCGACTCAACAGGCAAAGGGTAAGATGTTTACTGAGGCCGGAAAACAGCCTTTTGTTGACGCTGAGCGTTTTCAGCCGTCTCCCACGATGCCAGCAACAGAAGCAGAAGAAGCATGTGTGAATGGAACTGCCCAGGAGCCAAGACATCCTAATCTTCAAGCACACCTGTTACCTTCTGCAAGCATGGTGTCCAGACACAAGGTGGGTGCCTCCGGTGGGGAGAAAGACCCGGCAAGGCAGCTGGTGCTGGGTAAATTGGGGAGGCAAGACAATCCCCGGGAGTCTGAGAGAAAGAGCTTGGGTCACGCGAGGCCACCCCAGACTCCACAGCCAGGTAATTCTGGTCCAAAGAAAACAGCATCTTTGGATCAGACGGCGATATTGTGTACTGCTCAAAGGCCTCAAGCACAGCCGGCAAATGACTGGGCAGAAAAGTGCCCAGTGAAGAGTCCCTGCGAGCAGGTGGGGAAGGGGCAAGAGCATTTACCAGGCAAGCCAGGGAAGCGTGCCAGCCACCCAACTCAACGCGTCGGAGCCCCATCAGAGAAGAAGCCATTGGCACCGGTGGAAAACCCAGAGAGGCCAGGTAACCTGGCTTCGCTGAAAGGGACACAGGAAAGCAAGATGGCACCCCATGCCTGGGAGCAGCCCCAAAGCAGCACAGCCAGAGAAAAGCTTACTGCTGGTAAGAGTGGAAAACACCAAAGAGCATCACCCAGGGACGGCCGGGAGAAGGAGCCTGCCACACAGCACACGCCCAAGGAACGCCAGCCCAACCCAAGCAGGAGCAAGGCATGCTCTTCGGAGGCGTTGAGAGAAGGTTCTCTGGAGCCAATGAAGGCCTCTGCAGTACCCACTCCTGACCCTGGGGGGTGCCAGACACCGCTCATCTCCGTTCAGGACACACTTCGGGCAGGTCCTGGGGAAGAGGAAGACATTTGGGACAACATAGAGTCCTTGGAGCACAAACAACACCGAAGGTTGGCGCCGTTTGCCAAGTATACAGCCCAGAGCTTCAGTGACCAGAAAGCCTTTGATTTATCCTTCAGACCAACACTGATCAAAGCCAACAATGCAATCGAGTTTCCAAAATAAGAGTCAGCACTCAGAGAAACCACAGCGATTTCTTAACGTTTCACTATCTGCTTATCATGTATCTACCATCGGATTTTCCCCCCTCCCTCCAAATCATGTCGTTGAACTTCTGAACTTGTCTTTCCAGAGATGTATGGTTTAATTCTTTTTTCTTTCGCTTTTACATTAACTGGACCTTGAAAGACTGTCCCATGGGGAGGGAGGGGGCGTGGAGGGGCCCGGCATCTCCTTTCACACAGGTGTGTTCGGCTCTTAAGCCATCAGTGAGTGATGTCTCTTCTTAGGAGATGCGGAAAATGACACTGAGACAGAGGGCTGCAACCTGAGGTTGGCTTGCTTCCCATGTGGTTTCCTTAATCCATGAGATTTCTTTGATTGTCTCTGCAAGCATCTTCCAAAGAGAAGTACCAAACCTTCACTTGTGTCTTTTCCCAAAACAGAGTCTCTGTTCCGTTTTGCGATTTGGGGTTTGGGTTTGTCAGCACGTGTACTTTTTTGGTGCTGAACTTTGATGTGCGTGTCTGTCTGGTCAGCAAGTGGGAGAAACCCCTGGTGTTGAAGGAGTCTCGGCCTCTTGCATCTGAGGGCCAGTTTCGGTCTCAGGACCCCTTTGTTCCCTTGCACAGTCTCTGGTAGGCACAGGCATGGCTGACCTGCCCTGGTCTTTGCCTCACCACCTCTTGCTGCTGCTGTGGCTTCCCTCCTCCCTCTCGCCGTGGCTGTGGGTAGGTGTGGAACCCTCCCAAAGGCTCCCAGTCAGAAAGCTGTGATGTGATCACCAAAGAAGCGTTCGACATCCCTCATCAGTAGCCCTGCAGTGCCCCTCTGAGTGATGGTCTAGATCCTCACAGGCTGTCCAGCCAGCCCAGCAGTGCCAGTCACGGAGACTGAGTTAGGACATACAGGATCCGTATAGCTGACATACAGGATCCGTATAGCTAGACAGTCACGCCTGGGCCGTGGGAACTGCCGGGACCTGAAACAGAACAAACCAAGGAAAGAACTTAGACTCGTGCCACGGAGCCAGTTTCAACGCGAGCGACCCCACAGTGGAGAGTGGAACTGCCCCTGTGGCTTTCTGAGGCTGTAGCTCTTTACGGGAATAGAAGGCAATCACCTTTCTCCCTCAGAGTGGCTGGTAGTTTCAAACTGCCGACCTTGTGGTTAGCAGCCTAACATGTAACCCACAACAACACCAGGGAAGAGCAATATTGATTTCAGAGAAAGTATTGATAGGACTAAGTAGAGTAAGTAACATATCGTTTCGAACACTGTACTGTTAAGTGCGCAACTCCAAGAAGGCCTTCTTTTTAAAGCTTATACTGTGAGGAAAGCAAACTGCTGCACCATCTCTGCCTTTCGTTGTTATTAATAGCAGCCTCCACAGCCGCTTCTGTGTCCCGTCAGTAGACGGCTGTCACTGGTTTTAAGGACCTAAAAGCAACATTCTCTTATCCTGCTGGTACCGTCCTTAAACACACAAGTGGCTATCTCTTATTATCTGAGAAGTGACATTATTCATTCTTTTTTTTTACATTATAGGATAATGCATTTTCAGTCTAGAATATTTGAATGTTGTATAAAAGAATAAGGAAGGAAATAAAAGTCACCAGTAACCACATTGCCTCCAATTATTTTTGGTGTCTTGGACTATTCTATTACCATCTTTCCCCATAGCCTATCTATGTTAAAGCACACATATACACATGCACACAATTGAGCTCGGTAGTTTCAGAATCATAATATTACAACATATATATACATATATATATGCAAGTGTTAGGCAACCTTTGAAAATCTAGCTTGGTACCCCCATTCACATTTTTAATGCAACAATTTTAAAGTTAAGAATCCAAGTAAATGTAGCTTCGGCGGCTCTGTCATTCACGGTGCAGCTGCACTCCAGCAGTGTGGGATTTAAAGCAAACGGCCACCAGTGGCCATGTCCTTTGGCCAGCACATTTTTCCTCTGTGGAGATAGAGTTTCTGCAAAAAAAAATTTTTTTTTAAGGAGAAATGATTCCTTTCTGTATTTTGAAGACATCTCAGTGTTTGCCATTTTTGCCACCAAGCAATTTCCTTTAAGAATCTCCCTTCCTGGAGGAGACAGTTCCCGGAGAGGTGTTGTAATTGTCCTGTTTTCCGATTTGAATATTCATTGGGAGGAAAATGTCTTTTCATTTAAGACTTGAAAGGGCATGTCATAAGAACTTGGCTCGTGAGCTCTTACCCTGCCCACTCTATGGCAGAGACCTGGGGCTGCTGGCAGGCTCTTCTGTTCCGGAAAGGTCAGTCTGATCTAACAGCCAATTAAAAAAAAAAAAAATCACGATTGCTTAAGTGGCACTGAGCTCCAGAGAGGTTCTGCACTAATCAGGAGGTATAAAGTCCATGCAAATGAGCTCTTCTTTGTCCAAGTACCAGCCTCCATTTCATCCATTTCTCCCCCTCTCCAATCACACAATTCCTTTAAGTTTTGACAAATGAGAAACTTCCTCAACTGAAACAGCAGGCAAGACAAAGCACCTGGAGAGGAGCCTCAATCCAATTCCAGAGGTTTCCACCTGCCCGGGATGGGTGCTCCGTTATCCAGGGAACAGCTGACTTGTATACTTAGCAGATAGACTTCCTGTCTCCTGGAAAGGCCTCTTCATTTGTTGCTTGTGGCCCTCTATTCCGAGTGAATGGGCTTGGATTTCATATTTTATTCGCTCTCTGGGAAGTTTTCTCTCTGCGAGTGACCAGGCATTCTCACGAGGGCTGCAACAATGGGCTCAAACACAATCCGAATTGTGGAGGAGCAGGACTGGGCAGTGTTTCCTTCTGTTGTACATTCAAAAACCGCAAACTCACCACCATCGAAGCGATTTCAACTCATAGCAACCCTATAGCACAAGGTAGGACTGCCCCTGTGGGTTGCTCAGCCCCCTGGCGGCATCGTGGTTATGTGCTGGGCTGCTAACCTCAAGGTCAGCAGTTCAAGACCACCAGCTGCTCAAGGCTTTCTATCCTGTAACGAGTTACAGTCTTGGAAACCACACCAGCAGTTCTGGCCTGTTCGATGGGGACTCTGTGAGTCAGAATCAACTGCATGGCAGTGAGTTTTTGACAGCTCTTTACAACAGTAGAAAGCCTCATCTTAAAAAAAGAAAAAGAAAAGAAAGCCTCATCTTTTCCCCAAAGAGTGACTGGTGGTTTTGAACTGCCGAACTTGTGACTAACAGCCCACCTCATAACGCACCAAACCACACCACAGGTTCACTATGTGCTATGAGTCAGAGCCAGTTCTGTGGCTCCTAACAACTACAACATAGTCATGCGGAGTCCTGGTGCTGAACACTGGGCTGCTAGCTGCTAGGTCAGTGGTTCAAACTTACCAGCTGCTCCTCAGATGAAAGATGAGGCTGTCTGCTCTCAAAGAGATGTTGTGGGTTTGGGGGTATGAGTGCAAAGAATACATGGAGACTGAAGTGTGGTCCAGAGCAAACGCTACCCCCAAATTCAAGGCAAAGCCTCCCCTAGAATTGGGGGTTTGGCTCCCCGGAGCTGCAAATCTCAGGAAGCTCAGCGAGCAAACAAGTTCAGATGAATCCTGACCCAGAGCTTTCTTGGTCACATGATTGATTGCAAGGGCTTAGACCCAAAAATGTCTTCCTGTTGGAAGTGGTATCCTAATCACATGTCTGTGTTGGGATGCTTCTACTACCAAGCCTGGTTTGACATCAAGTTATTTATCTGTTTATGTTCTTTATGTACCATTCTTGGTCCCACGAGGGGTCTGAGGTAATGTTTGGCTAAGACTGTGTGAGGAAAGAGAGAGGGGATAAAAATATTGTCTTCACTGGGTGTTCCCTTTTTAAAATAAGAAACAGGATTGTTTTTGCTGCTATTTTTAAACAGACCAGAACAATCTATTGGGGAGTGTATTGAGTGGTATTATTTTAAGTGGTAGTGTGGGGGGAGGGGTATCTCACCATTATCTCCTCCAGAGTGCAGCCTGAAGAAAGAGGTACGGACCGTCCTTTCATAACTCTCTGGCAAGCACAGACTAGACTTTGTAACGGTGCCACCAAGTCCACCTGTTAGGCTGGATGGGTCCCTTCCTCTACATTTACCAAATAGGGCTGGACTTGGGTCTGAGTATGTTTTGTTTTTTTTAAAAACTGTCTAGTGAATTATTTCTTACAGGAAGATTGGAGAATAGTGGGTGTAAGTTCAAGGACCACTGTTGGCGCAGTGGTTTAAGTGCTCAGCAGCTAACCCTGGGAGGAATGTGGCGGACTGCGCTTGTGAAAGGAACCGTACCTGGGGCCGTTCAACTCCGCCCTGGAGGGCAGCACTGCGGTGGAATTGACTCTTCGGTGAAAGATTTGCTTGGGGTGCATCTAAATTCACGTTTATACCAGAAGCATAAAGACCCAAAGTTAGCTTATTTAAATATGTATTGTCACTACATATATGACTGTCATCATACAAAAGAACCACCATCATCACGCAACCCCAGCCCCACCCCCACTCCAAAGCCAGCCTGAGCCCTGGGTTTAAATGGCTTTTGAGGAAGGATATACCGAAGAAGAGTGGCTTTAAGTAAAACCCAACAACCTTAGTTTTTAATATTTATTTTAGCTTTTTGGTTTACCTAATGGCTACTTGGTCTTTGGTTCTATGTATTTGGATAGTTTATGTACTTGCATTTGTCACCAGTTTTTACAGTTCCTTTTACTGTTTACAGGCTCAGGTGCAAACTCCAGCTCTGTAGAGACCAGAGAAAATAACTCCCTGGGAAAACACATTTGCACCCTTACAGGTGGCTGGCGGAGTATGCATACATTCTGCAACCAAAAAGTTACAGCAGTGCCATTGCTTTCAGATGCTCCATCAAGGGGTGCCAGGGTTTAGAATTTTAAAAATTCAATTCACCGTCTTTTTTTTTTTTTAATGAGGGTCGTTTGTCGTTTGAATTGTGATCTGTTCATTAGATATTAACCTATAGATGTGGTCTATGGATTTTTGTGCATGTGTGTCCTTACTTGTATATAAACAACTCTAAAATGGATTTGCTGGGGGGGGGTAGATACTAAGTGTATATTTTCAAGGGTGTGGTAAAAATATGCATCAAATCATTTGCATTTACAATATTCATCACATGTATAATTCAGTGGCATTAGTTTATCCAGATTAGATGTATGTTGTTGTATTCTCTCCTCTGGTTCTTTATTAACTTTATACAGCTGGAAATAATGTTGAAAAGGGAGGTAAAATATATTGCTCACGAAAAATATCTTCTTGGCATTTTGAAAGGACTGCATAAACGAGGTGAGGAATTTCCTGTCAGCAGGCAACTCCAGGGACAAGGAGCAGACACTTTACATCCTCAGGCCTAATCCCAGAGAACAAGTGCCATCGTGTGGAGGGCTTCAAGCCAGCACACCAGAAGGAACACCCAGACCGATGGAAGGGACAGAGGGGACAGAGGCTCTCCTCCAGGAGGTTTCAAGGCATGGGAGGTGTGTTAGTCCGAGTTGATTAGAGAAACAAATTCACAGACATTCATATGTGTATAAGAAAGAACTTTATATAAAAGAGCAAGTGTATATTGAGAAAGCATATCAGCCCAGTCCAGATCAAGTCCTTAAGTCCAATATTACCCTACATTTCCAAATACCAGTCTATAAATTCCTCTTTAGACTCACACAACACATGCAATGACACCGAATGCAAGAAGATCACAGGCCAGTGGGTGGGAAGTCTTGTAGATCCAGTGGCAGTGGAAGCATCTCAGCGCTGACATGGGTCTCCATGTGGCTCCTCCAGCTCCTGGGCTCTGGCTCCATCAACATGGCTCCATGTGGCTTGTCAACAGGAATGTCTCACAGGGAGAATGTCTGTCCTCCAGGGAGGAAGACAGGAGTTTCCAGGATCCTCAGGAGAAGGCCATGTCCATGGAGAGGCTACATTGGCTATAACTTGATTGACAAGTTAGACTCCACCCCTTCCTCATATTGACAGTAGATTTTGTAACTGCCACAGGAGGATAGTTCCACTTAGGGTACCTTAGCCAAAACACAGCAACATCCCACAGATATAACGTAGATAAATTAAATAATGAACATGCCTGCTATGGAGGTAAGACCACATTTAGGTGGAATACGTGGGCACTTCACTGGAGACACCAGTTTCAATTGATACTAGACAGCCAGAGGTCATCCCTAAGAGATGCCCAGGGAAGATTGAGCAGCAAAAAAAGCATAGGTGAGATGCAATCAAGGGTTCAGTGACACCCCATACTAAATGTCCATCTTCCACCAGGACATTCAATGATTTTGCTTTGGAAGTTTCTGGGTTCGTGAGTGTGGCATGTATCACCACAGTTGGTTATCCATTGAGCTGCTACTCAAAAAGTCAGCAGTTCAAATTTAGCCATCACTCTGAGGGATAAAGATGAGGCCGTGTGCTCCAGGAGATTCAAAGTCTCAGAGACCCAAACAGACAGTTATATTCTGACCCATAGGGTCGCTATGAGTCTGAGTTGACTCAAGGGCAGTGGGTTGGGTTGGGTTTTGGGTTAGGGAGAAGGAGAGCTTGTTGATCTGAAGAAAAGTACAATGAAACCGAAGAA